CTGTCACCATTACTATTCAATATTGTGCTGGAAGTTTTAGCCAAAACAATTAGACAAGACAAGAAAATAAAGGGTATCCAAATGGGAGCAGATGAGGTTACACTCTCCCTTTTTGCTGACGATATGATCTTATACCTGGAGAACCCCAAAGATTCAAGCACAAGACTCTTGGAAGTCATCAAAAAATACAGTAATGTTGCAGGATATAAAATCAATGTCCACAAGTCACTCGCCTTTGTATATGCCAACAATAGCCAACAGGAGAGGTTAATTAAGGATACAACTCCCTTCACATTTCAAAGAAAATGAAATACCTAGGAATATGCCTTACAAAAGAGGTGGAGGACCTCTATAAAGAAAATTATGAAACCCTAAGAAAGGAAATAGCAGAGGACATCAATAAATGGAGGAACATACCATGTTCATGGCTTGGAAGAATCAACATTGTTAAAATGTCTATACTTCCCAGAATAATTTACCGATTCAACTCCATCCCTATTAAAATACCAACATCTTACTTTCAAGATTTGGAAAAAATGATTCTGCGTTTCGTATGGAATCAGAAAAAACCCTGTATAGCTAAGGCAGTCCTTAGTAAGAAAAACAAAGCCGGGAGTATTACTTTACCAGATTTTAGGCTATACTACAAAGCCATAGTGACCAAGACAATATGGTACTGGCACAAAAAATAGAGACATAGATATTTGGAATCGAATAGAAAACCTGCAAATGAAACCAACAACTTACAACCCCTTAATCTTCGATAAACCAAAGAAGAGCATTCACTGGGGGAAAGACTCCCTATTTAATAAATAGTGCTGGGAGAATTGGATATCTACATGTAAAAGACTGAAACTAGACCTGCACCTTTCTTCACTCACAAAAATTGATTCAAGATGGATAAAGGACTTAAATCTAAGGCATGAAATGATAAAAATCTTCAAAGAAAGAATTGGAAAAACACTGGAAGATATTGGCCTGGGGAAAGACTTTAGGAGGAAGACTGCCATGGCAAAAGCAACACCAGCAATACTAAACAAATGGGATCTTATGAAACTGAAAAGTTTCTGTACAGCAAAGGAGACAAGAACCAGAGCAAATAGACAACCTACTCAAAATTTGCATATTTTGAATCTGACAAAAGTCTAATAACCAGGATCTCTACAGAACTTCAATTAATCCACAAGAAAAAAACCAACAATCCCATACATCAATGGGGAAGAGAGGTGAACAGAATCTTCTCTAAAGCCAATAGGTAAATGGCTACTAACTATATTAAAAAATGCTCTTCATCTCTAATTATTAGAGAAATGCAAATTAAAACCACCCTGAGATATCATCTAACCCCAGCGAGAATGGCCTATATCACAAAAATCTCAAAATTGCAGATGCTGGCATAGATGTGGAGAGAACGGAACGCTCTTGCACTGCTGGTGGGACTGCAAATGAACACAACCTTTTTGGAAGGAAGTATGGAGAAACCTTAAAGAACTCAACCTAGACCTCCCATTTGGTTCTGCAATCCCACTAGTGGGCATCTATCCAGAAGAAAAAAAAAAACTTTTACTATAAAGACACTTGTACTAGGCTGTTTATCATAGCCCAATTTACAATCGCTGAAACGTGGAAGCAGCCTAAATGTCTTTCAACCCAGCAATGGATTGGGAAGCTGTGGTATATGTACACTATGGTGTGTTATTTAGCCATCAAAAAAAAAATGAAGATTTTACAGCATTTGTAATAACCTGGATGGAGGTAGAACACATTATTCTTAGTGAAGCATCACAGGAATGGAGAAGCAAGAATCCTATGTATTCAACTTTGATATAAAGACAATTAATGACATGGTGGGGCATGGGGGATGGGAAGATCAGACAGAGAAGGAGCGAGGGGGTGTGGGCAAAAAAAAGACTAATTCTCACACAAACTGGATTTAATTTTGATCAACGTATATTACTTAAGCATCAATTTTTAATTCAACATGTCAATATGTTATCATATTGTATCCTTATTCATCAGTGAAATATATTTGTAATTTCCTCTTTATAATAATATATGTTTTCTAATTTTACTATCAGGGGTATCCAGACTAAGTAGAATGATTTTGAAGTATTTCTGTTTCCACTGTCTATAAGACTTGGTGTGATCTGGTTTTTTTGTTTGTTTTTTAGAAATTATTTTTTACTTTTATTTATATATATTAGTCATCTATTTCTTTTATTTTGTTGTTAGACTTTGGTAAAAACATAATAAGGAAAAAATTGTTTACTATTTGTATTTTGTCTTGTGTATTCTGTAACAAACAAGTAGTAAATGATTATGTATTTAGAAAAAAAGATGTTTGTTTCTTACAATGATGCTACAGATTGAGAAAAAGAAGAAATTTGAGAGGTACTTTGGAGGCAAAATCAACAGCCTGAATGATGGATTGGCTATTTGGGGGGTGGGGGTACAGGGGGGGTGTCAAGTATATTTCTTTATCTCTTGTTTTTTATTAAGTCATTTGTACATAGATCATAAATACATTTATGCCATTATGGGATCCAATGTGTTGATTATTTGTACAAATCAGAGTGCTTACGTCCTACTAATCTCGTGATGGTTTGCAAGGTTGTAAGTGCAAGGTGGGTACCACTCACTGAGATAGAGAACACTGGAAGGAAACAGGCTTGAGGTGCTTGGAGAGGGAGATAATGCATTTGCTTTTTGTTTTTGCTGCATATGGAAATGTTTGAGATACCCAAACATTTTCACATAAGTATTTAGGGCTTAAGCTCAGAGAAGATGTTCAGGGTGAGATAAATTTGCATCCTTTGCATGTTGTTGACAAGTGAAACCACAGGTGTGGCTGAGATGCCTGAAAAGAGAAGATAGATATTTTGTCATTTGTGCTGCTAAATTTAAAGTAACTATAAAGTAGAATGTGAAACAGGTGAATAGTTGAACAAGGATTTTTTTTTTTTTAAGTGAAAGAGACCTGACCATGTTTAAAAGCCAGTGGGAAATATCCCTGAATGATGGATTTGTGATTATATTTCATGGGAGCTTACTTTGCATAACACTTAAGAACATCAAATAATTAACATTTGGGTCTTTAAAAATTACTTTGCAAACTGAAAACGTATATATGTCATACAACGGACATATATGGAATAAGAATTCTGTTCATGTTTTGTTCAAGGTTTGCTTGCAACTTACTTGGTTAATTTCAAATCATTTATTCTTTTCCTTAAGTTGAAAAAAAGTCTGATACAAATGATTTGCTGAAATTGGCATAGAGAAATGTTTGTCCGTGATATATAATTTAAAATTGTATTCAGGACTAATGTTATAATGTTTATAGACACAATAAAAGGAAAAATGCAAAGGCAGGGTGTATATGGGAGGGGAATTTAGCTCATAATTAGAGAATATTGGCAAATTCTACAGACATTGTTCAGAAATTCATAAGTAAATACCATTGTCTTAATATCAGAGCACTTATTTCAGTTCTAAACACTTAAAAATATTTATTACCTGGCCTGACAGTTTTATTCCTCTTTGGACTCTAAACACAAAGACTGTGGGAATTATGTGGGAATTCCCAAAGAATAATTTGGCTTTGAAATTCATGTTAAATGGTAGTCTTTTGAAAGCATTTCTTCATTTTTCTCCCAAAGAGTATGAAATCATTATTTTGCCTTAGATGTCCATAACAAATATGGAAATGCATAGAAATTTTAATGGAAATTTTGGGCTGTCTTTTTGATAATTGTCCCCTCCAGCACAATCATATTCCAAGATTTCTGAGAGTGACTTTATTTGAGAGAAGATTGGCCAAATTTACCATCTTAATGTTGGTGGCCATGGGTTTCTCTTGGCCTGAAATTCTGGATCTCCCTGGCCCTGGCTGCTTTCTACTGTCTAATTTTATGTTCCCTCTGTATTTTAACATAAAAATCAGATTATATAATTCCTTCAACTTAGGTGATATTTTCACATTCTATTAATGAAGTAAATGACTGAGATCAGTAGTTCCCCAAGACTTCTAGCAACAGGGACCAGTTTCATGGAAGACACTTTTTCCACAGTGTGTGTGGGGTGGAATGATATGAGTCTGAAAGCAATTGATCTATTATGTTCTCTGTGCAGTCAAACCTCTCTGCTAGTGATTAATTTGTATTTGCAGTAACTCCCCAAAGCTAGTATCACCCTCTCAGCTCCCTCTCTGATCATCAGGCCTGAGATTCTCATGAGGAGCACACAACCTAGGTCTCTCACATGCATAGGGTTCCAGCTCTTATGAGAATCTAATGCCACTGCTGATGTGACTGGAGGCAGAGCTCAGGTGGTGATGAGAGTGAAGTGGAGCGGCTGTAAATACAGATGAAGCTTCTCTTGCTGCCCACCACTCACCTCCTGCTCTGCAGTCCAGCTTGTAACAGGGAGCAGTCTGGTACTGGTCTTCAGCCTGGGGAGTTGGGGACCACAGATTCATGTTAAATATAGTTTGCAAGAGCAAAATAAAGTTTTATTAGCATGCCAAAGGAGAACTTGGCTGTGATGCCAGATTTCCTACTAGCAAACCATGTGACCTTAGAGCAGGCACTCAAGTTTTTTACATCTCAGTTTCCCTAGCTCTAAGAAGCTAGATTTGACTAGATGATCTAAGTTTCCTTCTAGCTAAAATATTCTAGAATAAAAGTTTAAGTGCATAAATTTTGCCTACAAGTGTCTTCACTCTCAGATACTTTCATCATTTGGTGGTGGAGGGAGTATATAGCCTGAGAATGGCAGGAAGACTGAAGAAATACTGTAATTCATCTCTGCTCTTTTGTCAAAGTGTATTCAACTCCACCTTGCAATTCTACCTGCCTATGGGAAAATTCATCATCAAAATTGAAAGCAGTTCTGTGACAGCTTTCAGGGGGAGTGTGTATTGTCCAAGCATTCCACATCATCTCATGGGGGACCTGTCTCTTGCATTCATTCCATTAACACGTTAATTTGTTTAAACACAGGTCAGGTGATCACGGCCAGTATTGCAGACATCATTGCAAATTACTCATTCAAGGATATTCTAAGGAAGCTGGCTGGAGAAAAGCAGACAGAAGTGGCCCCAGCTTCCTATGATGACAGTTACCTGGGTAAGAGCCATTGTTCAACGTATTTGTAGTTTCTCAACAGTTAAGCAGGTTAAATATAGATTCAAGTTTTATTCCCAGCCTATCTGATGTTATTTGGCATCTTATGCAGATTCTCTTTTCTTGTTCTTTTAAGTTTGATTCTCCTTTTCTTTTTAAATAGGACTATTGTTTTGCCATGATGTAAATGTATATAACTTGATCAGCTGTTTTGCAGGCTCTGTTGCAGTTGGTTGCATGTATAATATTTCACCACTAGTAGACACAGCATGTTACAGGGGCAACATGATAGCAGCCTTCTCCACTGTCTAGAGCCACACAGGAGATTTTCCTATTGCTAAGAATATCCTCAACATTTATTGTATACAAACCACACAATGGTACTTCACCACTACTATTCCCTACCTTGGTGTCCTAGTGGGATTTTTGATTGCTTGATGAATTTGAAAACAAACAAAAAGAAATGTAGTTATGTTTGTCACTCTAGTTGGCACCTTGCTTTGGAGCTGAGTGAAATTTGTGGAAAGCCACTATGAAAGGACTTAGGAAGCAGTCCCTGTTTGTGATCAGAACTAAAACTCTGAGTGCAAAGGGCATCTTTCAAAGTAGCATGTCTGATCATAACCAATCAGGAGCTCTTAAAATGCAATGGCTTCTACTTACACTTAGTGGTGGATTATTAAGTATCAATGCTTTTAAAATTGATCTCAAAATCTGATTTTTTTTTTTTGGCCAAATTCCTTCTTATTATCAGTAGTGACAGATTTATTACATGTTCAGGGCCAGGCATGATGGCTCATGCTTATAATCCCAGCACTCTGAGAGGCCGAGGTGGGTGGATCACTTGAGCTCAGGAGTTCAAGACCAGCCTGAGCAAGAGCAAAACTCCATTTCTACTAAAAATAGAAAAATTAACTGGGCACGGTGGGGTGCCTGTAGTCCCACTGCTCAGGAGTCTGAGGCAGAAGGATCACTTGAGCCCAACAGTTTGAGGTTGCTGTGAGCTCTGAAGCCATGGCACTCTACCCAGGATGACAGAGACTCTATCCCCAAGATTTAGTATAAAAGTGTGATCATTTCATATTGGTGTGATCAATTTTTCCCTTTATTAACTTTTATTTTATAATGCTTATAGAGATTTCTATATAAGGTAGTAACAAGGTAGTCCTTTCGCTTATTTATTATTTTTTTAAACAGGATACTCAGTTGCTACAGGGGAATTTACTGGAGACTCTCAGCAAGGTGAGCGATGTCACTGAATTTAAGTCATTTATACCATATGAAGGGAAAAGTAAAATGACATGAAAAGTCCTTTTGTTAATGTGATTTTCTTTGCTCTAAATACATATGAATAGAATCCCAGAATGTATATGATAATATTTTGTGGGGGGAAAAAATACCTTTCGGTGTAGTATTTTAAGCCCCAAGGAATCATGAGAGAACAAACACCTTTATAAAATATAGTTAAGTAAGAAGAAATAGGGCAGTAGTTCCATGTTATGAATGAAAAAGAAGGACATGAAGAAATGCCTTAGACAAGAGCTATGCCGTTAACTAACAGATCAAATCTGAGAAATTAAGAGCCTTCTTTTTACTTTAATTTCTAGGATTTCCTACTGGACTTGTCCAAAACCCTACTCCCCACCTGACTCTAATCTTAACCCCCAACATTATTTCTTTTTTCCACTTTGGATACGCCCACACCCCAAATAAGCAAACCCACTACTCCCTGTTCTCTCATACACCCTTCGTGTTCTGTCTTCTGCCCTTTGCTTTGTTGTCATATTTGTTTTCAATCCTTTGATCCCGTACCCACCCACCCCATTGTCGTCCAGTGGTCAAATGCTAATTTTTAAAAGCCAATTTCAGATATCATCTTCTCCAGAAATCCTCCATTAACTTCTTTCCATAAGCTTTTATTTCATCTTATTTTTCTCTCTTTTAAGGCATTTACTATACATTTGTCAAACATTTCTGTGCCCCTGCTACCTGCTCTGTATTAAATGCCTGCTACATGCTCTGTGTTGAATGTTGAGCCTGCTGATGTGAACAAAGGGTCCTTAATCTCAGAGCCTGCAATCTACCAGGCTGATGGACATTAAATAATGACCACTAAATACCTGATTAAATTGCATGAGTGCTAGGATAAAATTACCAACGTAGAGTAAGAGAACTTTTGGTGATAAAGGAACATTTAAGTGGACTCTGGAAGGATGGGGAAGGAGCCAGACACAGGGACCAATTCCTATATCCTAAGTCACGTAAAAGAGTGTTGTGTTCAAGGGCCTCAGTCTGACTGGCAAGACTTGGATACTGATATTAAAGGGAGACTGAGAGAAGAGGTCAGGGCCCAAATCATGCTGAGTCTTACAGATCATGGAGAGGATTCTGGAACACATTCAAAGTATGAGAAAGACATCATGAAAGGTGCAGCTGAAAAGTCACTGTTTGGTGCAGCCAAAGAACCACTATATACTGTTACTAGCTCCGTGAGCCTGAACAAATTACCTAATATCTTAGTGGCTCCGTTTCTTTATTCCTAAAGTAGAAATGATGATCATGATAGTCTTGTCTTCTTTCTAGGATTCTTGTAAGTATTAAATGAGGTAATTCTATATATTCGTAAGACAGGATAATGCCTGATATATAATGAATACTATTGTTATAATAAGAAAGAACTGGTGGACAAGGAGCCATTAGAAATACTACTGAATAACTAGCACCTTAAAAAAGTCAAATATTAAAATCACCACCTCAATGATTTAGCAAAGAAAACTATAAAATATGCCAACTAATTTTTTTTTTTAACATGGTGTTGAGACTCTCGTAGGAAAGCTCTCCAGGACAGCATTCGGTTCTGGCCCAAGGAAATTACCATGTTTCCCTGAAAATAAGACCTACCCAAAAAATAAGCCCTAGCAGGATTTCTATGTGTTTGTTAAATATAAGCCCTACCCCGATAATAAGACCTAGTGGTGGGCATGACTATGCAGCATATCTGCATAGCCACGCCATGCATTTCAGCACAGAGAGGAAGACATCCCCTGAAAATAAGCCCTAGTGTGTCTTATTGAGAAAAAATAAATATAAGATAGTGTCTTATTTGGGGGGAAACACGGTAATAATAATGCCTAACAGCACATGGTAGGGAAGATGGTAGAAAATAGTAGTGATCAGATCTCAGAAACGTCTAGAAAGTGGATTCACATTTTAAGTGTTTTGAGGATATCCCAAATAAAGATACCATCAAAGAACACCACAATCAGTTTTGGACCACTGAGAACCCCAGGCAAAAGTCAACATTCTTCCCACCAAATCAAATCACGTTACTGTGTTTGGGTAAGACCAGATTGCTTTCTTGGGTTTTAGCTCACCGCATTTGGTTTTAAAATGGGAAAGGAGGCCAGGGCCAGTGGCTCACACCCTGTAGTCCTCGCACCCTGGGAGGATTATACAATATATAATTCAGCAACGAGGGGTGAGTATTCTACAAAAGAGAGAACAAGTTGATGCCCCCTAGATGAGGAGATTTTAGTAGGGGATCCTTACACTGCTGGGTGATAGAAGGATGGACTTCACTGGATTTGAACCTCTAAAGGTGCAAGGTTTGTATGCATGTGAACTTTTCTGGTGAGAGGTTCATTAACTTTCTGCCAATTTTCAAATGTGTCTGCAATCCAAAAAAGTTCAAGACCTTCCTTTCCTATTTTATTTTATTTTATTTTATTTTTGAGACAGTGTCTTTGAAAGACACTATGGCGTGATCATTGCTCCCTGCAACCTCCAATTCCTGGGATCAAGCGATCCTCCTGCCTCAGCCTCCCAAGTAGCTACAGGCACCTATCACAATGCCTGGCTAATTTTTCTACTTTTTGTTGAGATAGGGTCTTGCTCTTTCTCAGACTGGCCTAAAACTCCTGGCCTTAAGTGATCCTCCTGCCTCAGCCTCCCAGGGTGCTAGGATTACAGGGGTGAGCCATGGTGCCTGGCCTCCTTTCCCATTTTAAAATCAGATGTGGTGAGCTAAAACCCAAAAAGTAACTTGGCTTTACCCAAACACATTAAAGTGATTGGATGTAGTGGAAAGAATATTGACTTTGCTATCAGTGCTCGACTTCCACTATTTACCAACTATGCCCTTGACAGTGACTGACCCTTTAGTTTCCCTGCATATTTAAAGGCCTCCATTTTTATTAAATTAAGGAAATATCATAAAGCACGGCTCATCATTTAGTGAATAAATGCCAGCCTCCATGCTATTTCTCGCTAGCTAGTTTAATGCTCAACTCGTGTGTTTCCAGGCCAAGGATCTAGATGTTTTCCTGACTGTATTGAATATTAAGAAACTTGTGAAGGTTTCACCAGCAATTATTGGAATGAATCTAAGAAAAGCCTCGTATTTCCCCTTCCAGTTGAACATTTTTGTTGTTGAGTGACAGTTCTAACTTGCCTTAGATCACAAGCAATTACATTATCCTGATTATTTATAAACAATTGTGAGCATTTTTATTCCACATCACATTTAATAACTACTCAGCTTTGTGGTCATAGGAGGTGGCAGACCCCAACATTACTGGGTGCGATGGCTGATTTTTTTAAAAACAAAATTCTAAATGTTTGTGGGATGTAAGAAGTAGTAGTTGCTACATTTCTCAAGTGTCCTAATCCCCCTAGAACTTGTCCTAGCCAACAGCCTTGACCCTGAAATCAGTCAACTCCATTATATCTGAATGTGGTTTGTTTTTTGTGCCAGGAGAACTTCATTCATGCCAAATAAAGATTATAGGAAACCGGGCAGTGTGCTTACCAGTTCTGTCAGCTTCCCTGGCAATATCCAGATGGCTTAGTTTTCTGAGTCCTGCTTTATTCTTCAAGAACGTGCTTCACCCTCTTGCCCTCCCACTCCCACCAATGAACCATCATCTGTGCCCCTGCCTAAGTCTCACCTTCTCCTTTATCTTAATCCCATGTGTCTGTGACTGGGACCTGAGACTCCAGCCATTCTTGCTTCTCTCCCTCACATCATCACTCTCCCCTCTCTACAGGATTATTCACACGAAACTACCAGTATTCACACGAAACTCTCTTACTTCTCTTATGTTAAAAAAAAAAAAATTACCCCATGTCCCTCTCCAGGTACCACCTGTATTGTTCTGCTTTGAAAGAGCTGTCACTCCCCCCTGCCTGTGTTCTCTTTCTGAAAGTTCCTCCCCTTATTTTAAATCCACTGCTGTGTGGCTTTTCCTTAGGAGTCAACCTTGCCTTAATGTGTGAGTGTGACTAAAGCTGTAATTTTTATGCTAGTACAAAAGTTGTTACCGTAGTGAAATCGACGTAAGAAGTCTACCTTATCTTCCAAATTACACGCAGACCTGAGAAGCCAGGCTCATGTTCTGGAGGCAGGAATGCGTGGAGGCTGCTGATGAAGACTGGTAAATCGCAAAGTCCAGCTTTTGTTCTTCTGTTTTCTATTATCTGTACAAGAAGCAAAAGCTAATGGCACAGGAAAGGCAAAGCCCTGACTTTAAGCCTCCAACCTTCTCTGTGATGGTCCCTCATCTAAAAAGCGCTGCCTTTACCACTTATTTGTAATGTGGCTTTATAACATACATGTAATTTCCCTTCTAAATGACTATTTGTATCCCCAGAATTGGTTGCCGGCGTTCCAAGAGGAGCACAGAATTTTGGATATGTGAGTACTGAGAATGCATTGTAGGTTATTTTCTTGTATACGTGCTTCACAATTTCTGGTGCGGTTGTGTCCTGATAAACCCATCGTAAGTTCAAAATATTGTTAAGTCAATCTGCATTGAATATACCTAATTTTCTGAACATCACAGCTTAGCCTCGCCTACCTCGATCATGCTCGGAACACTTACATCAGCCTATAGTTAGGCAAAATAATCTAATACAAAGCCTATTTTATAATGAAGTGTTGAATGTCTCAAGTACAAGTATCATACTGCATATCACTAGCCTGGGAAAAGATCAAAATTCAAAGTCCAGTTCCCACTGAACACAAATGCTTTCACATCTTCATGAAATGGAACCATTGAAAGTCGGGGGCCATCTATCTATGCTGAGAGATGTTTTCTTTCTTGCAACTTTTAAGTCTCTTTCCATTTCCTTCACTAAGGACGTCCTTCTACTGATTCATACTCTTTGCTTACTATAAAGGAAGGAAAGCACATGAGGCTAGATTTGTTCTGATCTGTCTACAGGACCAGCTACATAACCAGTAGGGCCTAGGCAACATCTAAGCCCTGGATGCATGAAGCTGGCCCCACTCACAGGCATAATTTAGAAATAATTATGGACGATGCCGTTGTTATGATTAACGCTGTAATAGGTTTCATGTGGTAGAAATAAAATCCACTGTTATTTCACTAGTGTATTAGTTTTATAAGGCTACCATAACAAATACCCATAAACTGGGGGGCTTAAAACAATGAAAATTTATTCACTCACCATTCTGGAGGCCAGAAGTCTGGCATCAAGTTGTGGGCAGGCTCACGCTCCGTCCACGTTTGTGGGGGAGGATCCTACTGGGCCCTCCCGGCTTCTGATGGCTCCTGGTGTTGCTTGGCCTGTGGCAGCAACACTCTAGCCTCTGCCTCCATCCTCATGTGGCCTTCCGCCTTCTTCCTCTAGTCTCTGCTCCATCCTCATGTGGACTTCCCCCTTCTTCCTCTGTATCCAGATGCCCCCCTCTTTTTTCTGTAAGACACTGTCCTTTGGTTCATTGGATTGAGAGACAACCCTTCATGATTTCATCTTGAGATCCTTACCTCATTTCATCTGCCAAGATCCTATTTCCATAGAAGGTCATATTCTGAGGTTCTGGGTATACATGAATTTGAGGAGGATACTAGTAAAATCTTTTACCACTAGTTACCCATGAACTTAGGAAAATAACTAGACTTTATGAAAAGAAAAACTTATACAGGTTTATCATTTTTAAAAGGATCTAGGAAACACAATGGTTGACCGAGTAGACTTAAAAGGAATGTTTTACTATGTGGATAGCATTTTAAAATATCCTTTTTCTTGTGAAGAGCCATAGTTATCAATTTCTCATGAGAGCATGAGAACAGAAATGGATTTGGACAAAAATCCTGATTAAATAAACTAAATTAACCATCAAGTTAATTGTTGTCCACATTCTTGATTTCAGCTTTTATTTCCCCACCTGAAATTAATAAGCATGAATTGTGTCTAAATGTATCCCAGACTTAACTATAAACAAATGGTTCCATAAGCTTTTTTTTTTTTTTATGTCATTCTTTTGGGGTTTTGTTTTTGTTTTATGTCTCTAACCAAAATTTTGATACGATTTAAGTTGTAATCTTTAAAAAGTATCTCCATTTCTCTGTCAAATGATGCGACCTATCTCATTTCTATGATTTCAGGTTTCAATCATTAACTCTACAGATATGACCTTTATTCAGAATTTCACTGGTGAACAGGTATGGACATTTTAATAGCAAACAATTAATATTGCTCTGTAATAATAGTACACCATAATATTTGTATCATTTATTAATTAATTCAATAAATATTTAGTAAGTACCTACTATGTGCTGGACACTGTCCTAGGTACTAGATGGGGGGTGCAGTAGGCTATCAGACAGAAAAAGCCAAGTTCTCAGGCAGCTGTGAGGTGGCAGAGGTGAGGGAGGGAAGAACAGGTCATTAAAATTAGTGACAGGAAATAAAGAAGGTAAAACAGCAATAATGTAGGAGGATGGTGGCAAGGAAGCTCTTAGATGGGGTGGTCGGCCAGGCCTCATCTCAGCAGAGATGGGAATGACAGGAGAAACCAACTTGTGCTGTTTTTCCAGAATGTTCCAGGTCAAGGGAACAGGAACCATCTGCGTGTGTCTGAGTAACAGAGTGAAGGTCGCCATGTCATGAGGGACATAGTTGTTTAGGATGGTGGTGGCAAGGGCTAGTCACTCAATCCTAGCCGGACCAGGGGTTTTGTTCTAAGTGCAGTGGGGAGCACTTTTGTGTGGGCGTGAACCTTTCAATAGTCTAGAAATCCATGAAGGTTTTAGTCTAAGAAATAAGAAGGGACCTGCTACAGACAGAGCCTGGGCATGGACAGTTGACAGAGCAGATGTCCAGTTCCCACTTTAACAGTCATGAACTATGTGAGACCATAGGAAAACCATTTGACCTCTTTAAGCCCCATTCGCAGAACAAGACTAAAATGTCTACCTCCCATGCTGCCTTGAGAATGAAATAAACCAAGGCTTGAAGATTTCGAAGATTCCCTCACATTCAACGCCCTGAAAAATGTTAATTCCCTTTCACCCCATTTCCTGCCTCCCTTCCTTTAGATTAAAAAAAAAAAAAAAACCCACCAAATTCCCAGGTGGCATTAAATCTACAGTTTGACACACATGTGAATATGTGAGCTCACAGTGATCACACACCACTGATTACTTATTCCAGTAATATGAACATTAGTAGTCTCCATGTTTAAATACAGGATAAATTTAAAATCAATGAATTCCATGTCTTTGGAATAGAGAAAAGAGGAGGGATAGTAACTGAGTTATTGCAGGCCACTTGTGAACTCTTGCATTCATCATCTCTGCAAAGAGTATTTGGCACCTGGTGCCTACTTTGGCCCACGCAGTGGTCAGGAGGTCCAGACAGAAGAGTAATCCAAAGTCTGGTGGACTGCATTTTGATTAAATTAGTAAGTAAGGGGAGGCTGATATCAGATGGCACAGCATGGAAACAAAACTGCCAGATCTGAAAAGATTATAAATCCTAAAAACACAAAATAAGAAGCAGAAATTTCAGAGATGAAATGTGGGGAGACTGTGAGCCACTACTTCTATTCCTGGAAAAGATTTAGGAGCTTTTGTTGATTATGAGCAGCGTATAGTGATAAATGGATGCTGAGATGTGGGTTCCCTCCATATTAAAATGGCTTTTATGCTTCAGTAATATAAGGAGCCCAACTAAGAACATGTAAATCCTACCTGATCTTCTCCCATCAATGCATTCTCGGTATCGTCTGTTCTTTCATACCGTATGTGTGTGGTATCACCAAGAAAGAGGGGCTGGATGGGGAACCAGGTGAAAATGTTTTCATCTGAGCCCTCCTATACAAGTGGGATTAAATTTTTTTCTGTAAGATTTAAGATTGCAGAACCAGGTGGGAGTAAGAACTAGAAGTTATGGCAGGGCCCAATTTAGCAAAGAGTGTTCTAATATTTGTGTTTGTAAATTGAATGGGCTGATTGTTGAATATCTCCAGAGGATATCCACGCAGATGTCCAAGTTATTATGGGGAAGATTATTCATTGTGCCAGGGGTTAGACTAAAAGACTCAAAGACTCTTTCTACATCCAAGAGTCTAGGAATTTAAATGCAAAATAAATGTACCACCATGATATAAATCTTTCAGGAATAATGGAGAGGTAACTATAAAAATGACTGCTAAACATGAAATATGTCTTGGTTTCCTTTTGCAGATGGCATCTTATTTTGGGTACACTGTCATAGTATCAGATGTTAACAATGATGGGTAAGTTTAAAAGACCTCCCTCCCCCACTGTATAGTATTTTCATCCACAAAGATGTTATATTTTTCATTCATGAAATGTATCCTTACATACTTTCTCAAGATAGAGGCTCTCTTGTTTTAACTTTTTTTGGTTCAGGACAAAAGGCTTCTTCTATTAAAGAATTCTCTGTCATCCTAGTTTATGCCTTTCCTGAGACTTTCTACATCTGCCACTTGTAGAAGACTATTTTATTTTTATTTTTAATTTTATAAAGTTAATAGTTGGCCACTCATAGCCATGGAGAACATTCCTCTGTTTTCTTTTTTTCCTCCTAGAATTTCCCCCTTACCATGTGCTGCATTCATTAAACATTCCATATAAATGGATTCTTTTACCCTGACATTGCCTTAACCAACATACTAGTAATACCCATGGTGAAGCTGAAATAAATATGTTATTTTTCAGAGTATTGTAGTAAGTTCCAGTTGAGCTTGGACCAAACAGCATGGTGGATTATGGTTGTGTTTAAGTCATTACTTCAGAAAAAAATTTAATTAAATACCCCTTTGATTCACTAAACCACCTGACAGGTAAATTACTAAATCATTAAATAAGAAAACCATTAAGTTGAAATGTACTGATTATTCATCCAACAAATATTAGTACCTCCTCTGTCCCAGGCTTTGTTCTTGGTGTCCAGAATACAGAGGTGAATGAAAATAGGTTTCTGCTCGCAGAAAGCAACATTTTCACAGAAAGCAAATATCTGAAGAATCCTTACTATGTTCCAGGATCTCGGTTAACCACTTAGATACATCTTTGGTAGATACTTTCTGTGACTTCCATATACATATATATTCCATAAATGTACATTATATATTTTATTGTGACATATGTGCCTTTTGGAAAATTTATTTGTATTACCTGTTCATTGAACATACATTTCTTGTGCTTCTCCTTGGCACTAGCAAGCTCTGTTCTAGGTCCTGAAATATATAGCAGATAAATCCGTAACTTTGTGAAGATTATACTAGAGTTGGGAAAGTGGGAGCAATAAACAAAAATTAAGTAAATTAAGTAAAGAGTATGTTAGATGGTGATTAGCACAATGGAGGGAAAAAAACAAACAAACAAAAGAAGGGCCAAAGGCAATCAAGATGTCCTTCAGTGGGTGAATGGATAAATAAACCCTGGTGCACCCAGACAATGGAATATTACTAGTTGCTAAAAAGAAATGAGCACTTAGAATACTATTCATCCATAAAGAAAGATGGAGACTTCACTTCTTCTGTATTTATCTGGAAAGATTTGGAGACTATCCTCCTAAGTAAAGTATCACAAGAATGGAAAATTAAGCATACAATGCTAACATGAAACCAATAGATGAATAACCACCCACCCACATGAGAGAAAAACACAATTCAATTCAAAGAAGGGGAGAGGGAATGGGGCTGGGAGACTGGAAAGTTCCCACCTAACGGGCACAATGTAAGGGTGCATGGTGCACCTCCAGAGTGAAGGGCTCAACTACAATTTGGACTTTACCTAACAAACGCAAACAGTGTAAGCTAATCTCATGTGCCCTTGTATTAATCTGACATTTAAATAAATGAGCCATCAAGTCATGAAAAGATAGGGAGGAACCTTAAATGCATATTACGAAGGGAAAGAAGCCAATCTGAAAAGTCTAGGTACTATATGAATCCAATTATAGAAGGAACATTCTGGAAAAAGCAAAACAATGGGAACAATTAAACAACAGTGAGAGAGAGAGATGAAGAGGTGTTGTACAGAGCATTTTTAGGGCAGCAACCCTACTCCATAAGAGGCTGTCATGTGGATGTGCGTCATTATACATTTGTTAAAACCCACAGAACGGACAACACCAAGTGTGAACTGGATATACTAAACTGTGGATTCTGACAAATAATGGTGCATAAGTGGAGGTTTATTAGGACAATGTACCACTCCAGTGGGGGATGTGATGGTGGGGGAGGGGTGGCAGGGAGTAACATGGGAACTCTGTACTTTCTGCTCAGATTTGCTTGGAATCTAATACTGCTCTAAAAACAATAATAAAGTATGATAATTAAAATTTCAAAAATAAGAGAAGGAGGATAGGGGATATTTGGAGAGATGCAAGTTTAAATTGGATAGGCCAAAAGGCCTTGGGGATGAGATGATAGCTGAGGAATGACCTAAGAAGGGAAGGAACAGCCAGGATGACTCCTGGGAGCGGAGGGTTCCTGGAAACAAACAAAGGGTGCCAACTCCCTGAGGTGGGAGCTTCTGGCATATTCCAGGATCAGCCAAGACACGTAAAGAGTTAATATTGGGAAGCCAGATCCCCCAGGGGTGCAGGCCACTGCATTTACGCTGACTGTAGCTTGCACTTCCACAGAGGCTCCACCAGGGGCTCCATTGAGTCTGTTTCCCAGACAGGGGACCGGCATCTGTGAGGCGCACAGGTTCAGGGAAGGCGGGGCCTGCTCAAACTTCCTTATCAGGTGCTCTGTCTACCTGGTCTAGAGAGAGTGAGGCCTTCTGGGAGCCTATTGTCATGTGCCAGGTCAGACAGGACAGAGGCTTGGACTAGCAATAGCCGTTGTGGGAAAGAGCAGTAGTTAGTTGCACTTGGGGTATATTTTGAAGTCACAATTGAATGCCAGTCTTATTCTGAAGGCAATTAATTTAAAATCCAATTGCCTTGATCTTCAGCTGTCTGCATTGTGAAAAGAAAGTGACCATTCCGACTGCCATTCAGGATCTCCAATTTAGGCAGACTATATCTAAGCCTTTTAGTAATTTAGAAAGAAAATAGCCTAAGAAGAACTTGAAGCTAAAGCATGGCATGCCCTCCTGATTAAGTAGTCTATTTAGTGAAAATAAAAAAACCCACTGTGGCCTCTTAGATAAGCATAGGCACATTTCTCTCCACAGATAGTCACACAACAAGCACAAGGGCCTTTGCCCCTTGCCACCCATATTCTCTGTGCATGTGTGTGTCCATTAGGCCACTCCTACTTAAAACCCTATGACTTTTCAAAGGTTTCACAATACATCCTGGGGCCACTCTCTCCTTGCTAGAAACACGCATAAAGTCTTGTGACAATGTTTATAGTACTTTTTTTTTTTTTTGCAATGTTAACAAAGAAAAAACTTGTGAGAAAAAGATCTCATTGGTTTCTTGCTGACCAAAACAACATGGTAGTAACAAACACAGGAATTTTCACCTGATAATTTTTTCTTTCTTGATGTTCTTAAAACTTGCGATATACACTATTTCTTTTTCCTGAGGTGGTATTTTCTGAATTCTTTAGACTGCATTGAAGAATATGTCCATTAACTTAACGTCAATATTCACAAAGGCAAAATGCCTGCTAATTCTCAATCTGTATATAATTTTCTATTTTTTTTTTTTAGACAGAGCCTCAAGCTGTCCCCCTGGGTAGAGTGCCGTGGCATTACAGCTCACAGCAACCTCCAACTCCTGGGCTCAAGCGAGTCTCCTGCCTCCGCCTCCCAAGTAGCTGGGACCACAGGCGCCCGCCACAATGCCTGGCTATTTTTTGGTTGCAGCCATCATTGTTATTTGGAGGGCTCAGGCTGGTTGCAGCCGTCACTGTTGTTTGGCGGGTCCGGGCTGGGGATTCGAACCCACCACCTTAGGTGTACGTGGCTGGCGCCTTAGCCGGTTGAGCTATAGGCGCCGAGCCTAATTTTCTATTTTTAATTACTCAGATGCTATGTAAATTCAAGGTCGTATTGTAAATAAGCATGCTCTAGAAGCAATTGAGATTGTTCCCAGACAAAGGCATACAACTCAAGTGAAGTCTGAGATTACGATAATCACAATATGTGAGGTCTGACAATTAAGTTTGCAAACTTGCCACTATGGACATAAACTGGCAGCACTGTACAAACAACTCAGTAAGGTTTTATTACCTTGGTGTATCAGTGTCTCACAGCTGTGTTCATATTGACATGTGGTATCTTGCTGAATGGCATTTATTATTGTTGCTGTGTGTTCTTGTGTGTTGTTGCAAGAATGTCAGTGCTTAATTTAGAGACAAGAACAAACATTCTTAAATTTCTTGTTAAAGTTGGCAGAAGTGGAAGTAAAATCAGGGACATGTTAGTGTAAGTTAATGGGGATAATGCCAGGAAGAAAATGGTGATATACAAATGGATTAAACATTTTTACTGAGAGAGAAAGTGTCACTGATGAAGTGAGGACAGAGTGGCCAATCATAAGCAGACTCACAACAATATTGTGAAAATTTGTCAACTCGTGTGTCAAAATTGTCAGCTGACTGTGAGAAACATGGCAGACCAAATGATTATTGATAGAGAAACAGGAAAATCTTAATTGAAAATCTTGGCCAACAACTCTTGGGGTCTTGTCTTACAACAATGCACCAGCTTACACAGCGTTGTCTACAAGGGACTTTTTAGCCAGTAAACAAATAACTGTATTGGAACTTTCTCCCTACTCACCTGCTCTGGCCCCCTGATGACTTTTTCTTTACCCAGAGGTAAAGGAAATCTTGAAAGGAAGACATGTTGATGACATTCAAGACATCAAGAGTGATATGATGAAAGCTTTGACAGCCATTCCAGAAAAAGAGTTCCAAAATTGCTTTGAGGGGTAGACTAGGAGCTGGCATCACTGCATAGCTTCCCAGGGGGAGGACGTCGAAAGTGATTGTAGCACTTTTTCTAGGATGAGTTCACAACCTTAATTGTCAAACCTCTTATATATAATATATTTATAAGGTTAAGAGAATCACTTGGCTAGATAACTGTTCATGGTTCAGAAGTGAGGACTCTAACATACCTTTATGGGATTGAACCAGACTTTCTCCAAATCAGGAGATAATCATCATTGTGAATGAGGCTATCCGATGAACATTCTTTGAAAACACGTATCTTCTGTATCTGCTATACCACAAAGCAAGGTCCCTACAAAAGCTTCAAAATCCCAACATCAGGGGCAAAAAGATAATGACAATAAGTAAAG